AGAAAAATTTTTAAAAAATTCAAAGGACCTTTATATATTAAAATATGATTTTTGATGGGAAGAAATAAATTTTTAGAGGTCCAGAAATATTCTTAAAAATTAGGAGGGAAATTTAGTCGATATGACAAAATCAGGTGGAAAAATGTTTGAAAATGAATGATGATGCTTCCTCCTTCTTTCTCTAGCTCATTGGACTTGATTTTGGGCCAGGAATAAACAGTAATTTTGTGGTCCAAGTGATGCATATGGTTATGGAATAAAATAATACAAAATATCACATGATTTTATCCAAAATATTATCTCTTAAGGGACACTTGTACATTCCCATAATTCTGTAACCTCTTAAGGACGCATGCCCCAAAATATCCTAATTTTTAAGGGACATTTGGAAGGAAGAGAAGGCCAAGTTGAGGTCTATAAATACCCCCCTCTTACATCTTTAATTTTTGGTTTTTTGAGCACTTGAGGTGGAGGTTTTGCTATAAAAAAACTGAGTTTGGAGAGCCCTTTTCACGCTGAGATTGGCCAAAAATTATCAAGGATTAATTAAGGTGTGTTCAAGCTATAATTTGACTATAATTCTAGTTTGTTTCAAGTAGAGTTTGGTGGTAAAATTCCAATGGTATCTTGTTGTCCAAACTTTCGAATCGATGAAGAATGATTAGGAAAGAATTAAAAATCATGATTTAAAGCTTGGAATAGCTTGTTTGATTGATGTTTGGATTGATTTTTAGAAGAAATTCCAAGTTTCCTAATTATGTGACATTTTGGCCAAGCATAGCTCACGGGGTTAGAAATTGTTTCAACTTAATTTGATGATTTTAATAAGTTTAGAATGTGTTTTGAGTAGAGAAACACCAAGGACAATTGTTTAAAATCATTAGAATCAAAAATGAAAATTTTGGAACCTAAATTCACCCTATTTGGCCAAATTAGTTTAAAGGGGAAGGAGTGTGATTTTGTTAAATCTGATTTGATATTTGGATTCTACATGAAAAATTGTATAGGAATGAACCAAGAGATTGATTGAAAAAGAGAAAATAATTATGTCAAAAATCAAGGAAAAAGGAGTTTAATTGAGTTTGATGTTGAGCAAAGGTGTTCTTGCTTGGATTATTGGTAATTTGGAATGTGTTTATGCTTAGAGTGATAGGCATTTGTAAGAAAACAAAGAGAAGCACAAAATCTTTAAAAAGGCCGAAATATATACTTGTGAAAGAGGTAGTGTAACATCCTAAGTTTTTATCGGGTTTTAATAACCTCTTTTGGTTGATTTTGAGGATAGATTAGCAATTTAATCTTGATCTTGGTGTTTGGGTTGGATTTGAGGTTTGTTGGAGGAATAGGTGAACGTACCCCTCTCAGGGTATGTTAGGCGCACCGGGAGTTTCAGAGGGGAATGTCTTCTCGGGAAGGTTTGGCCGCGGCGAAGTCTAGGGGACGCCGCGGCGAAGTTGTTCGGGTGAGCGAGGCTTCCCTTTCGGGAAGGTCTCGCCGCGGCGAATGTTTTCTGGGCGAGCGAGAGTTTCCTCTCGGGAAGCTTTCGCCGCGGCGAAGTCAGGTTTTCAGGCGAGTAATCGCTCTCGGGATTGGTTCGCCGCGGCGAAAGGTCGCGAATCTATATATTCGCGGGAGCAGTTCAGCGTGCGAAAAATAAGAAAATCTGAGGTAGAGAGAGAGACTCTGCTAGGGTTTCGGTATTTTGGCTTGGAGGGAGCATTTCTAAGGATCCATTACCTCAAGTAAGTGATTTTAACCTCTAATCTTCTTTCTTTCTTGGAATTTCTTGGAATCTCTGAGGATTTTTGGTGGAACCCTAAGATTTTCTAAGTTGTGATGGAATTGAGGTTTTTGACCGATTGTTTTGAGTTTAATTGATTTCTTGGGGTTAGTTTAAGTATTTAATCGGTGTAGTTTCCTTGGATTTAAAGAATCTTGAATTTTTGGAGTTAGGGTTTATGGAGATAGGAGGTTTGTGATTGAGGATGACAATGTAGAGGTTGATTCTGAGTTTTGTGATTTGGGTTATGTTAAGGAGGGTTAAATTGGATGTTTAATCGGTTTAGATTTGTTGTTGGAACCTTAATTGCTCAAATGGGATGTTGGAGGTTGAATTCCTATAGTGGGTCCTTGAGGTTTGAATTTTAATTGATGTTTGAAAAGGAATTAAGGTTTTAATGCATTGGTATGACTTTGGAGTGTTGTCTTGATAGATATACCCTTTGAGTTGGGTAGAGTTTTGATGGGAGATAGGAATTTTGTGTCCCCAAGTGTTGTGTTGACCACATTATTAGTTTGAAAGCTAATATATGATGGTTGTGTGTTTGTGTGCTTGTGTAGACCGGTTGTGAGTCTTGGTGGTGCACGAGGCCACATCGTTGGTTTGTTGTTCCTTACTCAGGCGAGAGGTAACCACTTTCCAATCCTTAGTACTTGCTTCTGTGGTATTGTGAGTATATTTGTGTTTTGTGCTTTAAGTAGTAATTATGTTCGAACTGTATGTTGTATATAAAAAGGGAAAACCGTCTTGTGGGGTTTTTAATTGATGATGAATGAAATCTTGAAATTGTGAAGGATATGCCACTGAATGAGGTTAATTGTGAAATGATTATTACTCTTTGATTATGATTTGAGCATGATGCATTAATTGGGAATTGGTGAGAGTTTTGTCTGTTACTACCACGTGGTAAGGCCTCCATTAATGCATGATGGTTGGCTTAGTACGTCCCCCATAGTGAGGGATAAGCATTTTGGCTCCCTACGTCCCCCAGAGTGAGGGATAGGCCTTTTATGGCTCCTTACGTCCCCCATAGTGAGGGATAGGCCGGCTTCGGCTCCTAAAAATCCCCCAAAGTGAATGATTTGGTTGATGGGATTGCATCATTGCACTTACATGAATTGTTGTGGCTATCGTTTTATATTGTTTGTGAACTGCCCCACTTGACACCTCACGAGCACCTATTTAGTAGTACCTAGTATTGGAAAGGTTGGTTACTGGGACTTAGTCTCACCCCGTGGTTTACAATGTTTTCAGGTGAAGGTTCCGGGCGTGGGCCATCGGGAAGAGATGCAGAGGCTTGAGCTTGGTTAGCTTTAGGCCTCTAGCATTTGTACATGTATGACTAGTATATATTGCCACAGTTAGGACTACTTTTTGATATATTTGAGTACCCGGCCTTGTTGTAAACTGGAGAGAATGTATCTCCTTATTTTGGTTGGCCGGAGGCCATTGCTAGTGTTTTATGAACTCTGGATTATTTGGTTGGGAATCATTTAGATGGGCTGATGTGATGTTTGTTATTACCCGGGCCGGAGGCTCGGAGGCCCAGTAGATGTAAATGAATGATTTCAGTTGCATGCAACGGTTTAAATGTGAATTCAAAATTATGCAAATTTTTTCCTACTATGGTAGTTCATTTAACAGATTTTCCTTTTCTACCATAGTAGTGACTTTGTGATGAGTTCTAACGTTTTTAAGGTAAAGGGTTTTTACAGGTAGCTTTGAGCTCATAATTTGATTGCTTTCTTACTTGTTTAAATGTGTTTGTATTACCTGCTTATGTTGCTATGATGTGATTGAGCAAATTATGTGATTATGCATGGAATGCGATGATGAATATGCCTTGGTAATATGTTATGAGGAATGATATAATAGCTTGATGGTTGCTCTCTTTCCATGCCAAATGTTATACACATGATATGTTGCATGATGATGTTATGTTTAAGATAACATAGCACATTTTTACATAGCATGATTAGTATGATAATTGTTATTCATTGCTATTGAGATTTCTTATGAAATCTTATTCCTTTATGTTCAAATATTCATCAACTGGGGGTTGGATCAAACAAAGAGAAAGGAAGGGAAATCATCTTGGAAGATAATTGAGTTTAATGCCCCTTGAAGTTATGTTTTGTAATTATTATGAATTGTTATGTATTATTGTGAATTATGTTGGAATATTGTATTAATGATCAAAGTAATATGCATGTGAATATTTGGCCAAGGAGTCATGTCTTAGCATGAGTTATGTGATTAGAATGGTTATATGGATTGAAAAGAGAAAAATTACCAAGAATTGCACAAAAAAAGGATAAAAGTTGACTTTTCAAGGGTAAAGTTTGACCATATGAAATTCTGTGCAAATGAATGAGAATTTGGCTGAAATCTGGCGGGCTTATAGATCATGTTTTTATCTTTAAAACAAGTGGTATTTCACTAAATTTAGAGTTTTGTGCAAAGAGTTATGCCTATTCAAAATTGAGCATAAATTCTGAAAAATTGAAAAATAACCATGTCAACAGTACTACTTCACATGAATTTTGGGATTAATTGGTGAGTTATGGATACTAATAAGTATTTTTTATTTAAAGATCATATTCAGAGCTTCCAATAAAATTTGGAATCATCTCATTTCAATTTTTCTAAAATTAGTTATGAATTTTCAAAGTTTGACGTTTGTAGAGGTTACAATAAATAATAACCCAAATTTGAGATATCTTAAGGTTCAAATTTTTTCAACTTAAAGTCATAAGACATAATTCTAAATAGTTTCAATCGAGATAAAATAAGATTTAAAACTAAGATGTGACAATATACACCCACATACTATATAGTGTATTTGCAACTTTTTTTTTTTTTCAACATTAATTTTTGGGACCTCACTGCACTGGATTGATCTTTTGAGACTAAAATGACATTCTGTCTTAAACAACGCAATATTTAAGAGTAAGTTACATTAATATACCTATAACATTTGTTGGAAGCCACAAAATGATTTACTAATCTTTACTGTCCCCTTAGCACAATTATTATTGACCTGAATTAGATGGGACCACGGGAGTTTGGATTATTATATCATTACTAATTTGATTATATTCAGAATTGTTATAATTAAATCAGTTGAAAAGTTTGTATTTAAAAACTAATACATAGAAAGTTAGACATAATTGAAAGTTATGGATGAAGCGTTTGGCTTTTATAATAACTTTATTTTTGATGAACATATAATTGATTTTGTAATTCCCAATTTCCCATTATGGACTATAAACCACAATAGGACTCCTAACAACATAACGTGGACTTTTCCAGACAAGCGAACCAGATACAATCTTCATGCTAGCCATAGACTTAGCCTTAACCACAACTTTAAAGCTCCGTTTTTGAAGTGTGCGTGAGAAACTAAGATTCATGGGGCTCACAGTGACTTCCACTCCTGAAGGAGCATTTACAGTGGCATTAAACATGGTAGGACCAGGTCCTACGTTGGTGACTGTTCTTCGGAACACAGCAAGTGTGGAGGGTTTCTTGGTCTGCAAGCTAAGCTGGAAGGTGGGGTAGTTAATGGCGTCATGGCCGAGACCGGGGAGGATGGAGGAGCAGTTAACACGAGAGCCGGTGAAGACGGAGAGGTCAGAGCCGTTGTAGCCTTCGTGGCAGAGGAATTGGAGGTAGGAGAAGGCGTCCATGTCGTAGATTAAACCAGGGTTTTTGGCTCTCATTGGGTTCACTTGACCTGCTCCGTAACCAAATTCTGCTTCCTTGTTTACCCTCTTGCTCATTGGTTTGGCTTCAAACATGTGTCACACGGACCAGTCAGCCCAAACATAATACACATATTACTCCTAGTCCTAAATAAAGGTAATAGATAAATAATTCATTAAAAAAAATAGTTTAGCATTTGTATTTGATACTCATTCAAATATGTCAATGCCGGTTCAAACTCAAAAACTCATACAAAAATGACACGTAATATTCGCACTCGATCAACTAGCCATTAACATTTAAAGCTTTTTAGAAATTCATTAAAACTACATAAAGTTTTTTTTTTTTTCTATTTGCAAAATTTACTTGAACTGATCTTCAAAATAAAAATAATAATAAATTGAATAGACCTATAAATTTTGCAAAAATTATATGCATTTCCTTACACATACACATACACACGCGCACGCGCATACTTTCAAGGAAAGTTTTTGTGTATCATTAAGTTCGAGTCTTTTTAATACACATGGAAAAAAAATTACACAAATTTCTCTTGAGCTTGGTTGAGATTAACCTTCCCCTGTATTTTTTTTTTTAATATATACGCACAAATTTTTCTTGAAAATAGAACAGAATGCACGTGTGATTTTAACAAAACATATGGTACGTCCATATGAATTATAAATTACTTTAAAAGGAGATTTATATAATGACATTTTGAAAACAGAAAGGGTTTTTATATAATTTTAGAAAACTCAAGATATGTCTATGAAAACATATAAATAAGATATTTATATAATTTTAATAACTTAAAAATAAAATATCTCACCTGTAGTGATAATGGCAGATCTAATTGCAGCAGGAGACCAGTTTGGATGAAAAGATTTGACATATGCAGCAACTCCAGAAGCATGAGGGCAAGCCATGGAAGTGCCAGACATTAGCGTAAATTTTGAAAATTGGGTGTCTCCTTGCTGACCTGTCAGTGATCTTCTTAGTGTATAAGATGCCAATATGTTAATCCCAGGGGCCGCAAGGTCAGGCTGCATTATATACCATCACACATTACAAATCTCTGATTAATTAATTAAATGAAAACAAATTAATGTTGGTAGTAATAATGATTCCAATTAATTAATTAAGCTTGCAACAATAATCAACGGTTATTACCTTGAGAACATGAATGGAACCGGGATTTGGACCCCTAGAAGAAAACGAAGCAACAAATGGAGCTGCCTTCTTCACTTCATGGGTCTTATATATCACTGCTGATGGTGATCTTAGTTCAACATCATAAAACTTCATATCAGATATAAGAAAAGATAAAATACATATATATCAACCCAATTATGTCTCATATGAGTGTTACCAATAATATGGATGCTTTAAAATACTTCATTCCCCTAAAAATAGAAGTGGCGAGGGTATGAAGAGAAGGTCCCACCTCTATAGATGAGGGTCTCTCACCTTCTTTTCATGTACCTCTCTACTTCTGGATCATATTCCTTTTAAGTGAACTGGTCTTGGCTAAATTTTGGTGCGCTTAAACTTACCTGAACCAAAAGAACCTGAAGAGAGGCTTGACCCTACTACTTCATCCTTGATTATTGTGATCCAAATTTAAGTATCCAATTCTTATAGCTGATATAATGTGAAAATTTTCTGAGTATGAGTGTATTAACGGTGACAACCTTACAGTATTACTCTATGGTCTCTAATAAGTGTTAAATACTACATCCGGTTTTTAATATAAGAGCTAGTTTGACTTTCAATTTGGTTCTAAATATAAAACCCCAATGCACCTTTTCTCTTATTTATCTATTTTTCCCAAAATAATTCTTGTAGTAGTTGCACATGTTCAAGTTTCTATCAAATAGTAATTCTAACTAATACACATGATTATTAAGAGTATTTTAAGAAAGACAACACTTATTTATTACAAATAACTAACTTAACAGACTTCTTTAATCCATTCAAATTAGTCAACTAACTCTTATATTAAGGACCGAAGATAGCATATACTCTAATCTCTTAAAATACTTCACTCCCTTAAAAATAAAAGGGGGAAGGGTCGGCCCCACCACATCAGATGTGGGTCTACAGCTCTTTATTTTGGATTTAGATTCTTTTCAAGTGAAAAGGTCATGACCTGTTCACGTTTGTGTGCACTTAGACAGACTGAAACAGAAAAATCTGGAGATAAGATTGACCCCTCTATTTCATTCCCGATGCATTTATGTATTTCAAGATATCCAAATTTTAAGTATCATGCAACTTCAGTCCTGATGTATTATGTACCAAACCAGTTACAAGGAAGATGTTATACCTTGTGGATTTTATGTAATTGGTGATGGATTGACCAACTGAGATATTGACAGCTGTAGCAGGAGCCACGAAAATTTGAGCAAGGTCAAGGTATTGCTCATTTTCAATTATGGCACCAATGCCTCCGAGTTCTTTGATTACAGAGTCAGAACCTGATGAATCTGGTCCGCAGTAAACAAGCCTTCCCTTTACCTTCTTTCGGTCCAAGGCACTTTCGTAGCAGGATCTGCAAGCAACATATATATTGAACAATCAAGTTGACTAACCAATTAAATAGTTTGCATTATGATGGTGTGATCAATAACTGTCAATGAAGCTGCTCAAAAATTAATGTTCTGTAGTTTAAAGAAGGGGGAAAAATAATACTTGCCTAGCTTCTTCCTTGCTTGCTGAGTTTTGGGCTGCATCAGCTCCATTTATGAGAGGATATTGCTTTTGCTTTGGATTGAAAGTGTTCACTCCTCTTCCCTGCATATATTTGTAATTTTCGTGCTTGATATATGCTCGTACACAAATAACTTCACCATGAAGATTTGCATAATAAAGACACATTTTCTTGTAAAAAATATTATCTTTCATATATGTACATTCTCTTTTGTCTGATCAGTCATGACGCATAATGCGAAACTATCTCAGCAAATCCAATAGCTAAAAGTAACTACTTCAAGTAGCTCCGCAAAATTCCAACTTTAAGGTCAGATTTAATTTGGATCCTCTAAAGTTCAATCCCTAAACAAAATTCACATTAAAGATTTTACCAATACTTTGCAATCAACTTTATCTGTTCCAAACAATCTCAGCACAGGTAAACACCACCCCAAAATCATGTTTGCAATGTTTCTCAAAAGCAACCTATGAGTTGCTTCTGGAAAATTACGTTTGCAATGTGATTCCAAGAAGATTCTGTATTTCCTAAAACATAATGACACTTACAGAAATATTAATTCTTCCCATTTTTGGATTTGGAACCTTTAAAGTTTGATGAAGTGCAATATAAAGTACTGGTGGATCAATTATGTTACATTTATACATGCAAAACAAAATTTAATTCAACATACAGTATAACTCCTCCTACTCCTAAATGTTGGAGCAGATTAGAGGATTTAATTTGATCCTAAATGTAAGATTATCCTCATTTTACTTTGTCTCGCAAATTTACAATTTTTTTCCAAACTAGTCTCATTGATCACACATATAAAGGGGTTTCCATCAACTGATAGTTCTAGTTCTAATGTAAATAATCAAAAGAGGGTATTTTAAGAAAATTAAGACATATTTTTACAAATAACTAATTCAACTAATTTTCTTAACTTCTCAAATTAATTATCTAATTCCTAAAATTTGCATTCAACATTTGCAATTCTAGAAGATCAAGATTCCCAATTCCAAAAGAGAGATTAGTGAGACTTACAGAGACATTCTGTCCGTTGCCCAACTGCACAGTGCTGATGAATTGCCTATCAATGCCACTAGCTCCCACAGTAACAAGCCATGGAGCTGTATTCACAACAGTGGCCATAGAAGGGCCATCATTCCCAGCTGAAGCCACAGTGATTATCCCCTTGCTCATCGCATGAAACGATCCGATCGCTATCGAATCTTTGTCGTAGCTCGGATCGCCTCCTCCGATGGAAATTGATATCACATCCACTCCATCATGAATTGCTGCTTCAAATGCTGCGAGTATGTCCATATCTGCACAACCACTGCTCTCCCAACACACCTTGTACACCGCCACTCTCGCCGACGGCACCGCCCCGCGAGCCGTCCCTTGGGCCAGCCCGAATAAGCTCGCGTTTCGGACTAGGTTGCCAGCCGCCGTTGAAGAAGTGTGGGTGCCATGGCCGTCTACATCAATGGGGGATAGTATGTCTTCCGCGTCTGGGTTTCCATCCAGCTTGAAGTACTTTGCTCCTATGAGCTTGCTTCAAGTTTTTACCATAGGAAAGAGTTGATTTGGTTAGATATTTATTAGGAAAAAATAATAAAATATCTTCAAAAATATTAAAAAATTTAATTAGGGTGGATAAATTTTAAATTTTAAATTTTAAATCAGACTCCTTGTATTATTTTAAAATTTTAATATATTGTGAAATAATAATACTGCCCTTATTCTTAATGGCTACTTCTAACTATTTTAGTTTTACTTTTAACTATTTTGTTTTTAAAGTTCTGATATCTATTTTTGTATAGGTATTGACTACACAAAAAAAAAGTAAATAACTAAATAAAAAGTAATCACTAGATTTTCATGCATGTTTTGAATTTTTAAAACAAAAATAGTTAATATTGAAACTAAAGTAGTCAATAACTAAATAAGAACAGTCACTAAATATTCAAAAATGAATGTAGTCAATCACAAAATTAGAGTAGTCAATACCTAAACAAAAATAGTCATTATAGTTCTAAAAACAAATATAGGCAATTGCTAAAATAAAAAAAAAGTCAATAATACATAAGAAAGAATAGCCACCAAAGCTCCCGTAACCAGTTACGGGTGCCTGAGTTTCGGTGGCTGGAAACCTGCTAAGAGAACTGAGGTGACAATATTTAAAAAAAAAAAGAAAAAGAAAAAGAATAGCAAAGGGCAAACTAATATTTGTGAAATTTGGTGCACAGTACGAATTTTTGTAACATTATTTTTCTTGCAGTAAATTAAAACAAAAACTTATTAAAATATTACTTCTAAAGAAAATTATCTTCTAATTTGTTAACGGGGTAATCTAACAAGAAAACAACTAGACATTTAAAAAGTGACATTGTTGTTTTTATGTTCTGATTATTTTCTGATTTATTAGAAAAATGTTCCTTTTCGTCACTAATACTATCTCTGGTCTTTATTATAAAAGTTAGTTAACCAATTTGAATAAATTAAAAAAATTAGTTATATTAGTTATTTGTAATAAATAGATGTTATTTTTTTTCCTAAAATATCTTTACTAATTAAGTATATTAGTTAGAATCATTATTATAAAAATATTTTAAGAAAAATAGATAAATATAAGAAACAAAATAAATTGATATTTTTTATTTAAAACTAAAATAAAAATTATATGAGTTCTTATATAACGTGAAAAAACAAGCAGCTATCATTTTATTCCGTAAGCAGGCCCTACTTGTTTTTGGCAAGAAATGTCTGAAGTAATTTCATGAAATTGAACAAAACCAAATATGAAAAATGTAATATTTACAAAATTAAGTAAATTAATTAAATTAGTTATTTGTTAAAAATATATACTGATTTTTTTAAAATACATTATTTAATCATTTGTATTGCAACTACTTTTTGATAAAAACATTCATAATATATGCAATTAATATAAATTGTTTAAAGATAAAATCATATTTTTAGAAGATAAAGTTAATTGAGATCTTACCGAGCTCATATATGTTGGATCAAAGGTGGTAAGTACATATGGTATTCATTTATAAAAATAAAAAAACCATCTGGTTCTATTTTAAGTATCTGTTAGTATATTCTTAATAACCTAAATATTGAAATATGTAGAATGTCTGTGTCTTATTTTTTTCAATTAAATTTGACTAAAAATTATATATTTAAATTTATATGAGAGGAAAATTTTAAAAAAATTGAAAAATTAATTAACGAAAGTAATAATTCGAAATATTACCTGTGATTCTGCATATAAGAGCTAGTTGGCAATTCTAAATATAAGATTCTAATTCACTTTGTCTTCTAAATTTATAATATGTTCTCAAAAATATACCTATTGATTATAAGGTATTTCTATCCAAGTATAATTTCAATGTACATGATTAAATAAAATAATTTAATGGAGTCAACACATTTATTACAAATAACTAATTTAACTAATTTTTTTAATCTTTGTAAATTAGTTATCTGATTATTATATTAAATATAGAAGGTAGTTAAATAGGAAAGGGAATTTACTTGTTGCATCCGGAGAAATTGGCAAAATGACCACAAGATCCCTTCCATTTTGCTGGTGGAGGACCTAGCCCATCATCCTTGAAGCTATCTGATTCAGGTGTGGTCCCTATCTCATCGCCATAGCCCATTTTGTTTATCATATGAATTTATTAATAAAATAATAATGAAATTACAAAAAGTGAAACAATCCAAAAATATTCTACAATCACAAACTGACCGTTTATATATCTTATATCTTTAAAATGAAATAAAAAAAGATAAAATATTACGTGTATATAAAGAGAGAGGCTAGCCACTTAATGCACTATCTTAGTTAGCTTTCTTTGTTTTTTTTTTTTTAAAGCAAGAAGAAGAGGGCGAATGAGAAGGATAAAGTTGGGGCCCGCCAAACCTTTGTCGCTAGTCGCTACCTTAGAAAATTCAATTCCTAGGTACTTTTATTTTTGTACAAGACAGATTTTTGGAGAATGATTTGTTTCTATTTATTTGATAAATTAAAGGCTTTAATGAGTATTTCATTTTTTTTTTAATATGTCCCTATTAAACATATGAAAGAACTTACTATAAATGTTGTATTCCCCATTAAAAGTGAGCAAATAAAATGGACATTAAATGAGGATAGAACTTAAAAAAAATAAAAGTAGGTTTAAAACATGAATTATTTAAATTAATTCAATTAAATTGGTATGTAAGAATTATTTAATTTTGCTAGAAATGGTTAGAACGCATTGTTAGAACCACATATGCCTCTCTAATCTCTCAGGTCAGAGTCATCTTTCTACATCATTTACCTAGCCAGTTTAACCAACATATAAATATTCTGACGGTGTTACTTTTCAACTGATGTTAAAGATATGAAACTAGGTATATGAAATAAATATTTCTCTAACGGACGTTAAAAGCTCGTTTCGGCCGACATTTATAGCCCCTACTCCAGTAGTATTTTATATAATTATACTTTTGTACATGTAAATTAAGATGAATATAAATATAAGCTTCTTATATAAGTACACTCCTAATTAACGAGCGAGTTTAGTTTAGACTCTGTAATGCAAGAGGCCAAGATCTATAGCATGTATATAAAAACGTAACTTTTGAACTTGAAAATGAAGAAAAATAGATTAACTGATTCAAAATGAAGAACATAACTAACCTGTATCCAGAAGACCAACAATGATATCTTTCTCTAGTTTCAATCTTCTCTTAGCAGTTAAAGGCAAGCCAATGAAGTCCCATGATCTTGTTGTGTGTAGCTTACGATATCGATTCGGAATCACAGAAACAACTTCCTTCATTTCTGCATATATGGAAGCAAAGAGATGATGAAGAAGAAGAAGAAGAAGAGATTTACAGCTAGAGGGAAAAAACCCAAAAAAAAAAAAATTAAAATAATAATAATGAACCATATACCAGATAACTTTCTGGCCTCATCATCAGATAATTTGGCAGCGAAGGCATTGAAACTCTTTGAGTAGCTATATACCATCGATTCTTTTGCTTCATGGTGGCTGCGTACGACGAACACATCCTAAATTAAACTCATATTTAACATATAATTTTTATTGAAGAACTTGATGATCATAATAAATACTAAAAAAAACGACTAGTTTAGCTTTTATATTCGTCCTGCTTTTCTGATTGAAGAGAGAGAAAGAAGGTTGGTGAGGCTGTGTGTACATACACACACACACACACACCTTTCTTTTACAGAAGATAGAACATTCAAATGAGTACTCTCAATCTGTAAGCTATTTTCTGGGCTTATACCATCAACAGGATCCCCTCTTAAGAAAACGATATAGAATTTCTGCAGAAAACATGTAAATATAATAAATCAAACAATTCAATCTATTAAAAGAAACTAATAAAACAATGAAATGCATATATGTATACATATATATGTATATATGCCTTTTGCTCATCATCTGCATCAGCCGCAGATTTTCTTAGCAGAATCAGAAGAAGCAATAAAAGAAGAGAAGAGAATGATCTAATCATCAAGGTTTTCTGGGAAAACATGTTTAGCTTAGAAGAATCTAATAATATGGGAGAGGATGGCCAAGAAGCAGCAATATATATGATTGTGAAGACGGCCAAAAGATCAAAGGATATAAGATTAGCTTCTTAGATACAAATAGTAATTTAATTAATTATAGTTATGATGGTTGTAGGGGACGAAGCTTCAAAGATTGAATTCAGAATATTTGAAAGCACTATATATTTATTAGTAATGTCAGTATCACATTGAAGCCTAAGATTGCTTCCTCAGGAGAAACTTCCCTTAACAATCTTAATTTTTTTAAAGAAAATTATTATGCAGCTCATTCTTCTAGTTTTACCAAATTTTTTCAGCTTATTCTTTATTTTCAAAACATACATGAACTTCTTTCAAAAATAAAATAATATCATGTCATCTAGTCTAAATATATTCTTAATTAGAATAAAAATATTTTAAATGGAGGATAATTTATTAAAGGAAAATTAAATATGACCAAAGTGTGAGATGAATCTTCAAAGAAAAAACTATACTTTCATCCCTACAGTTTTATTATATTTTTAATTTATTTTTACAAATTGAAATTTATAATCAAGTCCTTATTCAATCAAATTTTACTAATGTAGTAGTAACACATTCTGACTTATCTTGAGTAAGTTCTGAATACGTTTAATTTACCCAAAAATAGAAAAAAATATTAAATAACATCTATAATAAAATATTGATTGAAACACACTGACAAATATTAATAAAAAATTATTGAAAAAAGAATATAGAGCATTTTTTTGGTGAATAACTAAAATAAAAATAATTATTTAGAGAATATATAAGACTAGAATTATTTTTCCATTTTTATAAATTTTTATATAGTCTAAATTAAGTGAAAATATTTTAAATTTTAATAAATAAAAATAAAATTTATTTTTTATTTGTCTTGGCCACTAGGAGTTTCTGTCAATATGGTGATATTCACACATGGCCATCACTTCTAATATCTAATATTGTTTACCAAATCACTAAATTAAGCCTATGGTAGTTGGGTCAAGATCAACTTGAGTCATTAATCACCTACACGTTGTTGTCCTAGTCTTAAAGATTCATGATTACATAACATGTTTGCAAGGTTTTCTTGTGGCTGATTTTATTTATTAATAATTTTCTTATCTGATCTTAAATATGAGTCGTTTCTAAACTTTTTTTTACCTTGATTTCTAACTAATTCATATATACGTACTAACAAAAATAATTAAAATTATTAAATTTGTCATAAAACAAGTGATTTTTACTATTAATTTTATTAACTAAATTAAATTTGAACATTATATTAATTTTTACTCTCTTTCACTACCTTTATTAAATATGAACATGTATAGATAGAAAATATTAAATACTCCTTGAAACTGCTGGTAAAAAAAAAAATACTCCTTGAAACTATCAAATACTTTATAGTAAAGATTAAGAAAACCTTCTAGAAAATGCCCTATATATGAACAAGAGGGGTTATAATGTATTGCTCAACAAAGAATATTTTTATTGGATTGCTTATTGTGCATAACCAAGTGGTCCATTTTATGCTAAAAATTTCTGAACAAGAAATGATGGCTTGCAAGATAATTTGTGAGGCTTACATTATTTGTGAAACTAACCGAACCACACTACATAGTTGATTCGGCCAATAATAAATCAACTCATAATCTAGTTTGAAATATGTCAAGAATTAATATCAACAAAAACCAATAAAAACTGATAAAAATGAATGTTTTATTATATAATATATGATTAGAAATATTTATTTTTTGTTCTGATCAGACTGATTATGGTCAAACTATTGAATCTTGCTTGTTTTTATTAATTTTGATTGTTTGTCTGATTTTACAAATATCATTGATATTAATAACCATTAATATAAATAGAAAAAATTAATCCACAAGTGTTTATAGTTTATCTCACTTTAAAATGAAGTTTCTGTAATTTATTTTGTTTAAGTTGGATCGGTCCTTATAGTTTGATCACTCATAAGCATTTATCCTTGTCTGTAAAATCTGTTAATTTTAATTTATACAACTATATAGATTCTATATGGAATTTTTCTCATTTTATTTAATTTTATTTTAAAATTTGGCAATTTCTATAAAAGAAGTTTCATAAAGTCTATAGATTAGCATTACCCGATCAAACAATAAGGGCTCAATGCAAATAAAATAAGCTCGAAAAACCTAGCTAATTCAAAATTGCGATAAAATTACAAGGAGTTGTGGATTAATTTTTTTCATATAAATAATAAGACTATTTCCTGTTCATAGGTCGTAAAACGGTTAACATAGAGTGCGTTCACTTAGTTAAAGTGAGTATTTAATATCCAATTGCAGTGTGTGTGTGTGTGTGTGTGTGTGGCGGAGGGATCTTACTTAGGATCAAAACAAGAGGTGCTGACCAAAAGATGCTCACACACGCGCATATATATTTCTTGAATTCCAATGCAAGCTTCTTAACCGTTCAATTTTCATTTTACTTACCCATAACAGCTTTAGCTTCAAGTTTAAACCAAATGAGCCACATTTTTTAAGATGTGAAACTGTGCTTTCATATTTATATTTTATTATAAAATTAAGTCATCTCAAAAAGCATGTGGATAATTACACTCTTAGATTAAATTAGCGACATGGGTAAAGAGATAGGGACGTCCTATAATTCAAACCACAATCTAATATTAGCCTTAGGCCCATAAATTGCCATAAAATGCAAAAAAAAAAAAGGAATTAAAGACATTGTATTTAAAAAAGATTTTCTAAAAAATAAAATGATGTCATAAAATATAGGGAAAAAGACAGAAAAATAACTTCCAAATTATGAAATCTCATAAAAAGACAGATAATCTTATTTATTGATAAGGACATTAATAATCAATTTTATTTGACTCTACAATGGATTTCTTAGTGATTTTTATCGATATGATTATGGATAAGTGTTTTTATCAATAAATACAAGTGTTTTTGATAGAAGAGCATGGTGTGATCAAGATCAAGCTTCAAAGGAAGAGCAAGGAGCCCAAATACATGAAAAGAAGTCCAACATTTCAAAAGATTCATTACAAGGCACTAGAGGTCTAATGACAAGAGTACACTACAAAAAAAAGACGATTTAGCAGCGGTACATTTCTAGCAGTTAAATAAAACCGCTACAAATTCAGAAATTTCTAGCAGTTTTCACACAAACCGCAAGAAATTCATAGCGTTTTGACTAGAAAGTGAGTGGGCCCCACACATTTCTAGCAGTTAGGAGTCAACCGCTAGAAAGTGACAGCCACAACTGTTCATGCGTTTTGACGCGAAGTTGGCGTCATATTTCCAGTGTTTCATTTCTAATGGTTTTACTGCTGGAACCGCTAGAGAATGCAAATCGTCATTGCATTCTCTAGCAGTTTCAGAACCCCTACTAATACAACTAACTTTCTAGCTATTTCTGTTGAAACTGCTAGAAATTTTTTTTTATTTTTCCCGAGGAGTTGTGACACGTGATTGAATACAGGTGGTGGTGGAGGGTAACCTTTAGAAATTTCTAACGGTTTTATTTAAACCACTAGAAGGTTCTAGCGGTTTTCAGGGAACCGTTAGAAAATCGCGGCCTATATATACCCCCCACCATGTCATTTTCACTGTTTTGATGAATTTTGAAGCGAATCTCTGTCGAATTCTCTCCACAAAGTATATCTAGATCCAGATCCAGATCCATATTTTCAGGTAAGAATAGAAATTTATTTTTAAATAATTTTTATTTTTATTTTTATTTTAGTTATTTTATTATACTTTTTATATTAAATTTGATATACTAGTTTAATTTAGTTAGAGTTAATAGAAATTTTTTTATAGTAGGCTAGTTTTTATAGAGTTAATAGAAATAGTGTTTTTTAATGAGTTAACAGCAAATTTAAATATAGGAATATTTGTTTTTCAATTAATATTATTTGATATTATTATTTAGATTTAATAGAAATAATTATTATTTGATATAATTATTTATTTTTAATAATTGTTAGTTGTAAAATATATTTTTATTACAATTGCTATTTGCTATTATTAGGATAAGTCGTTGACCACGGAAGGAGCCAATTGATCCTAAGAGAGGAGGACCCAGCAAGGATCATGGTGGTGGCGGTGATGATGCTGGTGAGCCATTCCCAAGCATTCATGACTACGATCTGAACGAGAAGAATATGCTGAGCTTCATGGAGCATGATGATATCCAACGGACTGAGGAGACTCAATTCTCGGGGATGAACAACCCCATGGTGATACTGGTGAGGAGGAGGAGGAGGTTCAGGAGAATGAGAATCCCCCTAATGAGCGGCGTCCTGCTGCCAGATGCCAGATCGATTTTGAAGTAGAATTTGAGGGTAAGTATTTATTTAATATTTTTAAATTTGACAACTATTTAATTTATATAGAAATTGTTATAATTAATTAATATATAATTAATTTCTTAATTAAATTTTACAGACTCTGAGGGGACCAGGTCCTATAGGAGGTTGACAGCCAGAGAGCTGTCTGTGACGACGAGCGAATGGGTGGTTGTGCCGCTGAATGAATTGGGCCAACCAACCAAGAAATGTGGTCAACTGTATAATAAGTATGTGTACCTTCTTGGTCAGTAGTGGACCATATTCCCCATTTATGTGAAAGATTGGAAGAAAATCACTCTGGAGAAGAAGCAACAAGATTGGAAAATAATAAAGATAATATAAAATTATTATTTACAATTTTTTAATTTAAGTAAATGAATATATATTTTGTTTTTAAATTATTTAATTGTTTGATTGTAATTTTTTCTTTATTGAATTAATTTGTTATTTATAATATTTTTAAATTGGTTAAATGAATATATATTTTTATTTAAATTACTTAATTATTTGATTATAATTTGTTATTGACGTATTTTATTTTTATTTATAATATTTTGAAACTAGTTAAATGAATATATATTTTTATTTAAAGTATTTAATTGTTTGACTATAAATTTTTATTTATTTAATTAATTTATTACTTATAATATTTTTAAATTAGTTGAATGAATATATATTTTTATTTAAATTACCTAATTGTTTGATTATGATTTGTTATTGATGTAATTTATTTTTATTTATA